TCCGATTCGCGATCGAACCAACAAGTCCTCGCGACAGCACAGCAACATGGAGCCCTTTACAGAGTCGTCTGATCTGATTTCTGCTCAACTGTTGTGGTGATTTAAAGCCCTGCCGGCTGCGACGGGCCGGACGCATCTTGGTGCGTATTACCTACGTTGCCAATACATCTTGTCAATGGGCCACTGAAAGCTGAATTTTACAACAAAACCCAACCAGGATTCGGAAGCAAAGAGAAAGTTGCGACACCAGCCCTGCAGGCCGGAGAGTCATTTCCATGTTCATGAGCCTGGATCATGGGTCATCATGGGTCGAGCATCGGATCTTGGCTCTTCGTGGGTCAGAAGGAACTGCCACAAGAAAGCAGGAGCTCCCTGTCTCGTCCGCCCCGAATCCCGAACATGGGAGCAAGGCAGGAAGCACTATCAAGGAGGTGGCAGAGGGCTAGGGGGGGTCGAAAACGCGAAGTCGCTGAAACGCTTGAAACTACAAGTCAACTGCTATCTCGCAGAAATCCACTTCGGAAAAATCCAAAGTCAAAAATACTCTGACGCAATGTCGACAACAGCACTCCTACGCAGCAGGTACAGCAATCCCTTGCTCGTCCTGACCCTGGCGCTCCACAACGGCATGTGGCTTGGACCTTAGTGAACGCACCCCACGAAGCTAGCCTGTGACAGCCTGTGAAGTCTCGAGACTCCTTGGCCTCCTCGATGCAACTTGGAACTTTCTTGCGGCAGCTCAGCGCGGGACGTCATCTTGAAGCACAGTGTGTCCGGTCGTGTGTCCTAATAAAGCGTCCCTTCCGTCTTGAGTTCTTACAACATGACATCTGGACGCAAGCTGCTTGGCTGCGCATTGGATTTTCTGCACGCAAGGTCGCAGACACATTGACAACCGGAACGTCAAATTTGTGCTGCACAAATGCCGTTCTGTTCACCAGGCAGATAATAACAAGGAAAGCCCGACTAATGGAGCGTCCGGAGCGTCACTGTCCACGAAAGCTTCATGAAGCTTCGCTGCCGTCTCTGCCATGTTCTACCAAAGTGGGGCTTCCGCGGCCAGATGGGTCCGCTGCATCATTCAGGGATGCCCTTGGACAAACCTTCCATGACTGAAGAACCTCTTAATTCTTGACAATTCTCGTGCGATCGTCCTGTTCGCTGAAGAACACAGTCCCCGCAAGAATGTAGCTTATTTTGGTTCGGTTCCTTCGTGTTCATTCCATGTGCTGAAGAAGGCGGTCCTCGTGATGGTCACCGCCAGATCTGAAGGTGACGTCGTGAGGTTCCGCTGCACCTCTTGGAATGTCGACCTGCCAGGGAAAGCGACTGCATCGACTGTCAAGTTCGCAGCACAATCAATCCCTGAACTCATGACGGCTCGGCACGATATACTCGGATCTCATCCTTCAAGCCTCCGAAGTCCTGCGTGCCAGATGGCTCTGCAGTGCTTTGCGTGGCGTTAGCTTGTTGCCTAGATGCGGTCCTTCACACGCCTGTTTCGCCGTATGCCCTTATGACCACCATAGAAAAACCTGTCACAGGCTAAAACCGTACGTAAAATGTATCGAGCGCCGCTTTAAGAGCTGAGCAACAGGCTTCTCCAGTTTCACGGCCATTGGCACGTCAATGTGCTTACCGGGAGGCTTTTGCATCTCCTGCTGAAAGCGCAAGGAGCAGCGGTCAGAAAAGAGATGCTGAAGCTGCAGCAACTCCTGCAGCTTCTTGAGGACTTCACTAGCATCAAACTGTGCACGGGTCTTCGGCTTGAAGCCGTTCACCTGCCACAGTCGCACGTGCAAACCTTCACCATTTCACATATGCACTTCTTGTCTCCGCCTCGTAGGATGCTTTGTCCCTGTCACGTTCCCGATCGTACCTTCAGACCACATCACTCTCTCCTTCACTCTTCACTGAGGCCTCGGGACACCTTCTAAGGTTCTGACCTGGGAAACCGGACAAAGTAAGTCAAGCAATGTGGAAAGAAGTACAAGTGCGAAGCCGAGTCCAAACCCACAGAAGCAACATTTAAGGTAAAAGCTGTTTCGCTTTGGGAAAGGCATGGAACCAGAGGGCGAACTCTGAAAATGGCGGAGGCCTTGCAGGGAAATACTCTTCAGCTAGTTTTGTCAAGTAGCCAAACCTGCGGCCGCCCCAACCCTCTTGCATACCACGTTTTGCCTGCAGCTTGCTGATACCCGAGCCGAGCCCGAAAACCCTGAACCTGCAATCCGAGAAGCCCAGAACACAAAGGCCAAAGACGACCTCCCACCCACTAAGCTTTGGACACACACACGCGCACCCAGACCGGCAAAGAGGTCAACTCAAAGTCTTCACTAAGGCTGCAGCTGACGACGGGTAGGATTGTCCCCCAGTGTCAAGTATGCGTTCTTGAGCTCAATGAAGATGGCAGCGTACCTGGTGAATGCGAGGTGTGCAAGGTCAGCTGACAGCCAGGATTCTTCTCCAGGGCACTCCTCTTTCTGTTCCGTGCTCAGGCCAGAGGTTTTGTCTGGATGGTACACGAGCGAGAGCTTCTTGTAAGCCTGCGGCTGCACAAATCTGCCCGCTCTTTCCAGCGAAACATCTGCGCCTTTTTGACCTCTTCCAGTGTCGAAAACTCGTCTATGCCAAGGACCTCGCTCCGCGTTCTCAGTCTCGACACGTCACGGCAGCTAGGGCCTCTGGCCTTGTAGTAGTTGATGCCTGGCAGCACACTTGCCAAGCTGCACGTGCTCTTGTCGCAGTGATGCTGTACACATGTGACTTGCCAAACAAATGCATCGGCGTGCATCGGTCAAACTCGTGTGCTTTCGGAGCCGAGAAATCGTCATCCTGCAAGCTGGAATCAGAAAAGATGTTGCTTTTACTCATGCAGAAGACGCTCGCCAAAAGAGCCCATCGGGCAGTCCACAGGCTTGAAAGATGGGTCGGTTTTCTTGCGCTTTTCGTCCCGGTCACAAGTGAAGGTCCAACAAAGGTCCTGCTCATCGAACATGGCTTCTGATGCAAAGTCTGCAAGAAGTGCAACCAACGGCCTCCGTCTTGCGAACTCCTTGCATGAAGGGGCTGTTCTGGAAGGCCCTGCGTTCGGTGCAAATCTGCGCAGAGCATTGCCGCACGATCTCGACGAAGCGGCAACTAGTCGGCACAGTTGCCCTCAGCTCGTGGCGCATACTGGTCCGCATTCATCTTTGATGTCTCCCGCTTGCCAAGGCGGGCCAGGGAGTCCTGCAAGCGCACGAGCACAACACCAAGGCGAGTTGCGGGAGCTTGCGGGCCTGCTTGAAGCTGAATTGTCCATCGAAGGTCGTCACCGCCATGGCCTTGTGCCGGGCTTACGCCGATCTGACCACGAGGCGTCGAGGCGTCGAGCGATGCAAGGGTTTCCAAAATGGTTCCAAGCTGCAGAGCTTTTGACTTAGGCCCCTGAGGCAAATGTCTCGTGTCTACGGCTACGGAGTCTACGGGTTCTTTAGTTCGACTTTGGTCTCCCGTTTCCCCATGGCCCATGGACATTACCTTGCACCCGGACAGCCCTTGCACAGCACTCAGCTGGTGGAAAAGTGTGCTGCGCTTGGGCCTGCAAAAGCTGCGAAGCACGTCTGGCTACGTCAGGTCACCAAATCGACAAATGCTGCAGGAAAGCAGGGGTGGACCGAGATGAAACCATACGTCCACTGACCAACATCGAACCTGATGCCACGGGCAATCCCGAGCTCCAACTAACCAAGAGTCGACCCTGAGGAGCGGGCTCCCGGATGTACTTGCTGTCCAACACTGTCTTCTTCAGCGCCATGAGCCTTGCATCGCTTGCATCGCAAGCAGTGGGCCGCTTACAGTAGCAACTCCATGTCTCCATTGTGCTGAGGCTCGCCGGAGCAGAGGGCAACCTTGGGCCTTTCGTGGAGGGGAGGCCCCGAGGCCCCCCCCGTGCGGCCCCGATCCCTGCACTCCCTTAAGCTAGAGAGCCCAAAGGTTGCGTCATCGCTGAGAAACACACACGTTCAGACACGAGCCCCTTGCAAAGCTGCTGAGCGTCTCTCTTTTCTTAAAATGCAGACGTGACATCACATTGGCACCTCTTCGACCACAGGTTTTTCCTGAGAAATATTCAACATTGGTGAAGCACTCCTAGCTCAACAACATATTGCGTCTTGATGTTGGCAACAAGTTCTAGAGTTCAAGCGTTTCAACACAACACGAGACATGCACTTTGGTCAGGGAGTTCCTACTCGTTTCTACACACACGAATTACGAGGTGACACCCGAAACAATGGCAGATCGCGCTACCATTCGGAAAGCTTTGACGGCTTCTGCACAGCGTGCAACTGCACAGGGTGTTTCTGAGCTCTTGTCACCCGTCGTGGTGGTGAAGTGCTCTGTCCAGTTGAAGTATTGCAGCAACAGTTTCTCTGCAGGCACAGAGCAGAACTTGCTCAAGAGAGAAAACACCCTCACAGATGGAAGACTCTTGCTTCGTCTGCGATTTCTCTTTTGCAGGGGTAGGCTCCTTGCTACTGCTGGGCGGACATGTGTGAAGGAAGCTGCTAAGGCCTCCACATTGCAAAGTCGCGAGACGTAAACAAAGGTAACGACAAGTTCCACCACTATGTTGACAGCTGACTCACTCTGCACTCCACAGTCAAGTCCAACAACGGTTGAAATCAGACATGAACTCGCGATGCCTGCAATGCGGAGGTCCCAGCGTGCACACAGGAAGGGCTTGCAATGAGATTGGCAGGCCAGCTCAAGCAACAATTCAAACCGTAATCGTAATGAGCCAGGGAGACCAGCAAGCGGGCGGTGTGAGGGTCTTTATGCGATTCTATGCTCATCTGTCGGGCAGTTCCAAGTGTCCAAAAACGCCTCTGACTTATGATGTCGCACTCCTGGAATCTCGCATACGAATTCAAACGCCGCGGAGAAACACACCTTCGTCCCTTCATTCACTGGGACTCGAATGTCAAGAAGCCCATGGAGGTCGCCTTTGGGGCTCGTCAAGCAGCCTTGGCTGGGCTTCACTCTCTTGCGATCTGCGGCAACGCCTGTGCTGAAGATCTTCTTTGGGACCCGCCTTGAACCTTCTGGACATCGCTTCTCTGCGTAGTGCTTCCTGAGGCCCTCTTTGAACCAGAAAACTTCTGTGACTTTTTCTGATCTACTGTAGGAGCTATGAAGACCTTCCAAAGCTTCTCGAGAAGTCACAGGCCAGGCCCTTCAAGAATCAGGTCAGAGTCAGAGGCCCAGTCAGGTGGCCAAAAAGAACGTAATGCGATCACACACTAGGGAAGTGGGTCGGGAGCAAAACTCTGCGCAAACATGCGTCGGGTGGGCATGCCGAGAAAGCAGGGGTCACACGGTCAACTGAACATCTAAGTCGTGTGGCGAAGTCGAATCCAACAAACCTACCGAATGGACGGCAGGCCACATCCCCCTTAACCGGGTCTACTTGGCACTGCTTCTGAGGCGCTGATGACCGAACAGAAGCATTCGCAATCTCGACAGGGTTCGCAAGCTGTGATTTCCTCACAGGTTCAGAGAAGCCACATGAAGCCACGCACAGTGTTCTCTTTCAGGCGTGGACTCTAGCCAGGAAGAGAACTCGGCCATGGAATCTCGCCGCCCACCAAGAAAATCCGGCCTCGGACTTGGAAAAACCTTCAACGAGGGGCCGCCTTCCTCCGAGCCCCGCGCAATATCTCCGTCCCAAGCTTCTCAATCGCTGCCTGGGGCCCACCCCTGTGAACGCGTGACCTGGTCAGCGCAGCCACAAAACCCAAAAACATCCCGACCCTTCTAAGTCAAAGCCCGGCCTCATCTTGGAGCCAAACTTGGAAAGAAAAAACTGCACTGCGGAGGTGGCAACCCAACGAGCCTCGGGTGGGCGGGCGGGGTGGCAGGCAAGACATGGCAAGATGGGCGTAGATTTTGCACGGCTGGCTTGCATCCGTCGCTGCAGGTGCCTTTTTCTTAGAAAAATGTGGCCCGCATGATTCCAGGGCACATTCCAGCTCTTGGGACTTCCCTCCCGACTCCCCTCTCAGCGAAAGGAACCGTCGCTGCTCCCTACAGTCTAGGCCCAACCAGTTGTCCGGCTCGCTGCGGGCTTCTCTAGAGGACTTCGGGCCAGCAAAGGCCCAGACTTCATCTTCGATGAGTTGTACATGGGGTGCCTGGTACCAAGCTTCCACTTTCAAACCAAAGGCCAACCTGCAAAAGAACTTGCCTTGATCGGAAGTGCAGAGCATAATTCAATTCCTCTTCTCATGTCGTTCCAACCAGAGAGGCATGCCTGCCAGCTTGATGGCTCGCCAAGGTCTGCAGGCTTGGCAGTCATGTGAACCTGCCAAATGACGGAAGAGAGCAGCCGCACGTCCAGCACCTCGCAATCACTTCTCATCTATGACTATGAGCAGAAATCGCAGTAGACTCCTTCAGAGACGGTGGACAACAAGGCTCCGGCGATTGTTATACCGGGATGGTCCGGACGGCTGTCCTCAGATTCAGCATCCGACTCGCTGTGTCATCGCCAGACACAAAACTCTGAGTTCTTTGCTCTCAAGGCTGCCTCCATCATAAATATAATCAGCAATTGGTACTCCTGTCAGTCGCGGCCCAATGACTTCACAATGGCTTTTCACAACTGGCAGAGTGCTGGGGCCTGCATGGTGCACAATCGCCTCGGCTGTCTTTGCTGGCGACGGACACGAGTACCGGGCAGCCCAGGGCCCGGCGTGTTCAGCTTCTGTGCTGTGAAAACGAGGAGGTGGGAATCGCCTCGGGGGGGTGTGGACGCTCTGCAATGCTCTGCGGAGCCCAGGACCACGGAAGCAGTCCGCCTGGCCATCGAGGCGGCAGGTAGATCGTGGCTCCGCTGCGCAATGCCTTGCGGCAGCGCTGCGCCATGCTGCGTCAATCCACCCCCAGACCAGGAGATGTGAGTCCGATGCAGCTTCCACTTGCCGGACACCTGATTCGCTGTGTGGGTCGCCGGAAGCACAGCACACGCAGGTAAGAACCGGACCTATACTTAGTGGCCACGACCACCGCTGCCTATCACAGCAGAATTTGACAATGCTCGGGCCCCTTGTCTGGACACACGGAGCGACTCGCACAGATGACAGGGTGTGACACCTGAAGCGGAGCATTTTCTCCGCTCTGGCCACTGCTTTTCCATGCTTTCCGCCTCGGCTTCAGTGCTTGGAAGTTCTCAGCTCGCAGCAGAAGGTAGACAAACCACCTGAGGATTCCAGAAGGAGGAGCTTTGCCCAAAATTCGGGAAGAGGCCTCAGCTGAAGACGGACCTTGAATCAAAAATTTGCCGTGAGCCCGTGTTCTGGAAGCTGGGCGCCAGTCAGGCCGGCCACTGTCAACGTGGTGTCGTCCCCTGGCGACTTGGACTCAACAGAAACTCCAAACTCTTCCCCGGCACGAAGCACAGAGCATGCGCAGCCGTCCTGTGGTTGAGCGGATTGATTCTGCCAAATGCCGGATGAGCTCAGGAACCTTAACAGACGTGACATGCATCGCCCGCGGAGCAGAACCAAAACAACCCCCATAACAGCGCTTACTTCCCGACACGTACGCGTTGCAGCTCTGCAGTGTTATCGTCAAACCCATGTGGCTTGGAAGCCCTTGACAGGCACGAACATATCCCTGCTGGAATGCAGTAATCCGGCAAGCCACCCTTTAAGGGAGCTTAGACCATCCGGACCAATCGGCAAAGCCTTGACCGGAACATACGCGCAGCGCACTACAAGAACGATGTACTGCACCCGAACCCCAACAGAGCACAAAGGAAGGACAGCAGACATTGAACCCTTTGAGGGTTGACGCGCGGAAGGCTTACAAGAACGATGGACTGCGAAAGGACGCTTGTGTGTGGAACCCGAACTATGAAAGAGCACAAAGGATGCACGCCAAACCTTGAACCTAATGCCATTGCTGATGCGTGAAAGGCCCAGGAACGGTGGACGGCAAAACCCAACAACAGTATCCTCAAAGACGACAATGGAAGGAAAGCAATCCTTGAACGCAAAAGTCCGGAGGCTAAAAGCAACCCGCCGCAAGAGCGATGTGGCAGCAAAACCTAACCCCTCACAGAACACAAAGCAAGGACAGCAGAACCTTAACCCCCCGAAAAAGCTTATGTGTGAATTCCCCAATTATGAAAGAACACAACCCTTGGAGCCAATGCCACGGCTGATGCGTGAAAGGTCCTACAGGAACTGTGGACAGCAAAAACCCAACGCGAAAAAAACACAAAGGAAGGACGGGACACCAAGCACCCCAAAAGGAACGATGTGCAAAAGACGGCAAAAACCCAAACCCGAAAATCACACACAGCAACGACGGCAGCAAACCATGAACCTAGCAAGGCAAGGCTCCTGCATAAAACCCGGGCCGCAACACTCACCCGAAAAGAACATTAAAAAAAGACAGCAAACCCGGAACACTGAAGGGAAAAACCCAAAACAGGACAGCAAACCTTTGACTTTTGTAGGGCTGCAGCTTACAAATTTCGATGCAAAACCGCGACCCCGCAAAGAACATAATTGAGGGGCAGCGAAACTTGAACACCAAAAGGGCTGATGGCGCACTGATGGCTGAAAGGCACAACAAGGACGAGAAGCCGTAAAATTCAAACCCGAAAAAAAACACATTCCCAACACCCTAAAAGAACAATGTGACCGTTACAGAACGCACGGGACGCAGCAGAAGACGCCCTGCAAGAACGATGGACTGCAAATGAGCCTTGAACCCCGGAAAGGACAGCAAACCTTGAACCTCGAGCGTGCTGATGCCTGAAACACCCTGCAAGGGCGATCGACGGCCCACGATGTTGAAACACCCTGCTAAAACGATTTTTTTCCTAGTGCAAGGCAACTGTCAGTTTGCCCATCAACCGCGGCAGTTTCAGGCTGTTGCTACCTAGCGAGGCCGCGCCAGAAGACGCTGCCATCTAACCCTATCTTGAGCTACAGGGTTCACTCGTCGAAAAGTCAATGTATTGTCCATCCATGGTATATGTTGGGAACGATGAGCTTCTTTGACCGCTTTCGTAGAAGGAGTTATGCAGTATTGATTTCCAATGTCTGCTAATGGAGGGAGCCTATCCGTATCTTGATGTCGTAACCGTATCTGCGCTTCGGTCATGGCCACCTCTGCCCAGAGGACTTGGGGCCGTCCGCGTCTGTTCTTGCCCCGAACTGTTCTGTACTCCCTAGCTTGATGAAAAGTCGCTGTAAATTCATGTGAATCGGGATGCCGCAAGATGTGTCCCAACAGCTTCAACCTGCGAAACGAAACACTCAGCGACGGTGTTGGGACTGAGGCATACTGATTTGCCAATCGAGCAAGGTGTTCATTTGAGCAAGGAACATCTGATGGTTGAATAATCCGGTGGAAATACGACGACTTGACCTTGAATATCCGTCGCATACTTTGAAAATGGACCGCATTCAATCTTCTGGTACTGGCCGGTGTCAGGGAACAGGACTCCATGGCATATGACAATATGGATAATATGATGGATTTGTAAACAGTGAGCTTCCACTTTGTAGGGAGCCCGGCATGAGAAAAGAACGGTTTCAACAATTTCGATGCGTGAACTGCTTTGGAAACCCTTTTTCCTACCGTGCGGTGGCTACTGCAGCCGGCATCAATGAAAACTCCTAGATATTTGACCTCCTGCGCAATAGGAACGAAGTGCACCAAAGGACCGGCACCACTGCAGCAGTGACATTGACAGGGCTCGGACGGGTGCTAAAACGATGGACGGCAAAACCTAGACCCTAAACGAACACCAAAGAAGGACGACAAGCCGTGAACTGTGAAAGGGCTGACTACAAGAACGATGAGTGGCAAAACCCTGCCCTCCGCCAGCAGAAAGGAATAAGGGGAAAAATTGAACTGAAGCGGATGAAGAATCGACAATTAGCCTGCAAGAACGATGGACGGCAAAACCCACACAAAGCCAGCTTAACAAACCTTCAAGACGCAAAAGAGCTGAAGAACTGCGGACGGTCAAACCCAAACCACAAAGCAACACCAAGGAAGGACCGCCAACCTTCTACTCGGAAATGGCGGACTTGCGCTAAAAGCACGATGGGCGGAACAAAACCGAACGTGAAAAAAGCACGAAGGAGGGACAGCCAACCTTAGCTGCCCTGATGCGTGAAACATCCTAGCGGAACGGTGACTAGAAAACTCGAACAAACAGATTAAAGCAACACAAACCCAAACCCTCAAAGAACGGACAGACAACAAATCTTGAACCCCACAAGCGGGCTGATGTGTAAAACACCCTGCGAGGCCTTACAGGAACAATGAACCGCAAAGTTTACACCCTACAAAGAACACACAGCAAACGAGCCCAAAGCAAGGACGGCACACATTGAACCAAGGCAAAGCTGATGCGAGCAAAACCCCATAACAACGGTGGACGGTAAAATCTTCGATTCCTAGCAGCACCGACCACAAAAGAAGGAAAGCAAGCCCTGAACGCAAAGGACGGAGTCTAAAAACACACAGCACAAGCGATGGGTAGCAAAACTCGAACTGAAACCCTCACAGAACACAAAGCAAGGACAGCAAACGTTAAACCCGAAATAATTCTTGTGTGACACCCCGACTATGAAAGAACACAAAGGATGCACGCCAAACTTTGGACCGAATGCCGCAGCTCATGAGTTGAGGTCCTACAGGAACGGTGTACGGCAAAAACTCAACCCGAAAAACACACAAAGGTAGGACGGGACACCTTGCACCCGAAAAGGAACGATGTGCAAAAGACGGCAAAAACCCAAACCCGAAAATAACACACCAACGACGGCAGCAAACCTGAAACCTACCAAGGCTGATGCGTAAAACCGGGGCAGCAAGACTCAAACCCGAAAAAAAAACAGCAAACTCGGAGCACTGAAGTGCTGCAGCTTACAAATTTGGAGACAAAACCGCAACCCCGAAAATGAACCTAATTGAAGGACGGCTAACCTTGAACCCCAAAAAGGCTGATGGCTGAAAGG